GAACATCTGGGGGAAAAGTCCTAAGAAAAGCCAAGTAATGAAAGAGCAATAAAGATGCAGAATGCATTTGTGGAAGGCTCATGAAGAAGGGAGCCTTTTTTTTTTCCTTTTTCTTTTTTGTTCTCTTTTTCAGGTAGTGAGGCTGCCTTCCTGTGGTGAGCTTAAGGGAAGTGATTTGATTCTGTCTGACTGAGTTTACAAGCTGCCAAATGAAAAAATTGCCATTTCCCATTGCATGAAATAAAGTAATTACTGATGTATAGAATTTGTAGACCATCTTAGATGTTAAAACACTAGAGAAGGGAAACATATGTGTGTATAATTACCTAGGATCAATCAATTGAGGAGTGTTTTATCTGGGTTATAGAAAAACAAGAAAGGGAGACAATTTAAAGAGAAGAAGAAAAATACTGGCTTTGATTGCAGCCAAGTCCTGGATCCATGTGTTACTAATCATTATTTTAGGCCAATTGCCGAAACCTCTTCCAGCCTCAGTTTGCAAGTCTTTAAAATGGGACTCTGTGATAAAGATTCATTGACAGAATTGCTGGGCATGGTAGCTCACACCTGTAATCCCAGCACTTTGGGAACCTGAAGCAGGTGGATCACTTGAGGCCAGGGGTTTGAGACCAGCCTGGTCAATATGATGAAATTTCATCTCTAGTAATATACAAAAATCAGCCAGGCTTGATGGAACGTGTAAGCTATTAGGGAGGCTGAGGCACAAGAATTGCTTGAACTTGGGAGGTAGAGGTTGCAGGGAGCAGAGATTGCACCACTGCCTTCCAGCCTGGGCAACAGAGCAAAACTCTGTCTCAAAAAAAAATATAATAATAATAATGCAGATGAAGCACACAGCTTTATACCTGGCCCACGGAAAGTACAGATCACCCGGTGTTTGCCATTACAGTTATTGCCATTGTGTTGTTGTTTTTGTTGTAAGTGTTATCACATTTCTACTCAGAGAAGCAAAGTGTCAGAAGGAGGTTAAGATTCTATCAAACAACAGGGTCCTAATGAGAAGTACTTATAAGTTTTTAAGGGTTGAAACTCTTTTGGAAGCATTTGGGATGATAAGCCACGTAAAATAACAGGGTGAAGTATTTTTTTTTTTTCCTTTAATGAGAACAGTTGCAGGAATGCACCTGAGTGCCCCTGGGGTATGTTCAGATGGTCTCATGTTGAATGTACCAAGGAGGAAACAAAAATAAAACCCAATATGAATGAACAAGCCCCACTCCCCGAGTTTCCTTATTTATAATAGGATATCGTACAAGGGGAGACTCTCACAGCTGCTATCTAGCTTAATACAAATGGTTTTGAAGTCTTGGATGTGTGTTATTTGTGCTGTGCATGGTATACTTATTTAGCGTTTCCACCTTGAAAACCTCCTGTTGCGTAGGCATCGAGAAAACTTTGAAGTTAAGAAAGTTATAAACTTCAAAAGATTGCTATTGGTTCAGCATATAAGATTATAGTGGAGAATCAAAAGAGGAGAAAAGAATTCAGTGGTATTCAAATCATGTTAGAGACCACTTGATATCTGCTTGCTGTTTAGGGACTGAGTAGCAAATTGCAATAATCACCGGTATGGTCTAAGTGCCTATTAGAATACCTTGAGCAGTTAACAGTAGCAGCACAAGTCTATTAAAAAAAAAAGTCAGAGATAGCCAAATTTGTTGTGGTCAAACAGGTTGGTTTAGTTACTGGCATTGTCAATGACACCGGTGGCTAAAAATCCGTAATATATAAGGATACGATAGAATTCACATCATAAGTCTCTCAGAACTGCAAGGCATGAAAGGAGATACCATGTCTGAAAGTGCCTGTTCAATGCCTGATGCAAAGCTAATGATTAATTCAAGTTCTTTTTGTTTTTCCTCTTCTTCCCTTCCCAGAAAACCTAATAAGGGTCCCAATGACATTTTGCCACAGATGTTCCCACTGTGGGAATTGCTGTCAATGTTATGTGTTTATGGATGAGGACCCAGTTTTCTTCTTGACCTGTAGGAGGGATGGAGGAAGATGGCTCTGGGTTTGGGCAGACATGGTGATGGCCAAACCCCGAGGAGGGGGAACACCCTATACGTGGGACTGCATCAAAGCCCCTGAGTTACCAGTGACTGTACATTCCTCTGGAGTCCCTCTTATTCTGAACCCCGGGTCCTGGAATGGCTGCTCATAATCTAGAACAGTATGGGACAATAAATAATATATTTGCACCTCATAGGCCTGAGGATGTAGGTTCAGGGTCCCGTGTTGAGAAGAATTGTAAAGCTCAGTTGGAAAGCGAGCCATGATCAATTAGTGATGCCATTTAGAACTGGGTTTTTATCCGCTAAATGTGTAATATTGACAGCAATTCCAGCAGTGGGAACATCCATGGCCAAATGTCATTGGGACCCTTATTTGGTTTTCTGGGAAAGGAAGAAGAGGAAAAATAAAAAAAATTAGTCACCAGCTTTGCGTCAGACATTGAACAGCACTTTTCAGACATAGTGTCTCCTTCCATGACTTGCAGTAATCAGTTATCATGGAGAAATCAATTAATGATGTCTGCCACTGGCTAGGGCTAAAGGAAGGCAGCACATGCCAGCTTGTGAGAATTCCTATCCACAGTGCAAGACTTGGCTCAAATACCGTCTTACAACCATGTCCGAAGATTTAGAATAAAGCAATGTATGAGCTAAAGGATAATGAGATCATCCCTATCATTGTTCCTATATTTTAGGCAGTAAATTTATTATACTACCTTATATTATAATTGTTATTCTTACCATCAGATTATAAGCTCCTTGAAGGCAGGCACTTCTTCTAAATCATCCTTACGTAACTATGATTCCCCCTCCCTCTCTCTCACTTCCAACTCTAATGCATGCATTCAGTCTTTCTTCTGGTGACTCATTCAAACAATGTTTGCTGAGCCCCTATTAGGGACTAGAAGTGACAACAAGAGGACAAGGCTCAGCTCTGTGGAGCTCGTGGCTTGGCATAAGGTAGGTGCCCAGAAGCTCTGCTGCTGAATTTGCCTGCTGGACTCATTGCATCCTACTCCTAACGCCTGGCCTGTGGTGACCTGGGCCGGAAATGCCAGAGACCCAGGGGGTCCCAGGGGCTAGTTTGTTAGCAGAGGTGGTTGCATTTTCTCAAATCTCTAGAAGTTTTTGGAGTAAGCTTGGAAACCCAGGCAGCTTCTGATGAGTAAGCAGAGGCTGCCACCGCTCAGTGTGGGAAACAGCACGGGTCTGTGCAGAGGGAAGGCTCATCTGTCCTGGGTTGCAATGATCGAAGGCCTGTATCATGGAATTCTCCCCCTGCATTCCTGCTTTCTTGTGAGAATTAATTAGACATTTCACCTTAACTTCCCTTGTCGGAAAAATTGAAAGAATAAGTCTAAGTTATTTTGTATCTATTGAGCTAATGTTTGCGTTTCGAACTTCCTAAATCATCTTAGCCAGTCTGCTTGAAAGAAGCAGGTCCTAGACTTAGAATAATGTTTAATTTTTAGAGAATGCCATTCTCTTTCCATGGAAGGTTAGTAATTCCAAAGTCCATATGACATTATCCAGTCCTTCTGTTAACATGGAGATCACTTTCTTTGTCAGAGTCTCCTTGTCTTTCTTTTTATTTTTATTTTTTATTTATTTTTTATTGCATTTTAGATTTTGGGGTACATGTGAAGAACATACAAGATTGTTGCATAGGTACATACATTGCTGTGTGATTTGCTGCCTTCCTCCCCATCACCCATATCAGGCATTTCTCCCCATGCTATCTCTCCCCAGTTCCCCACCTCCCGCTTCCCTCCCCTGTTTCCCCCGACAGATCCCAGTGTGTGATGCTCCCCTCCCTGTGTCCATGTGTTCTCATTGTTCAACACCCGCCTATGAGTGAGAACATGCAGTGTTTGAGAGTCTTCTTGTCTTAATGGTGAAGGGTATAAACGTTTCAACAGCTGTGGAAGAAATGTTTATTACCCTCCAGTTAGGCAAAGAGATCCGTCTTTCCCAAAACAATGCTTGGGGTTAAAGACTTGCCTCCCCTTTGCAATTTAGTTTGCACCTTTATTTCTGAGAATGACTTCAATTTAGGCAGTTGGTAAATCAAGGGTCTGACTACAAGAAAATCCCCTCTTTCTTGTCCCTGTGGGCAAAAAGGAAGGTGTTCTGGTTTGTGGTAGTTGTTCTGGGTGTGAGTGTTGTTTGATTTTTCTGTAGAGGTTTCTCAAGGAAGCTGACTTGATTTTTCCAGGTGCCCCAGTGTGTTATGACACTCCTAGGCATCAAGAACAGCTCAAAACCTCTATGCTGCTGAAGATGGAAAATTAAGGTAGAAGTCCCCCTGGTAGAAAAATCCAGTAGGTTCAGGTTCCTTGAGGTTCCCACCTATTGCCTCAATCTTCTTTACCTGTTTAGCTCCTTCCATTATGGGAAAATCCCTGGAGATGCTGCAATGCCAGTGGCACCAGGAGCCCCCATGGTGATGGCCAGGGGAAGACCACTCTCATTAGGAACAGTCAGACCCCCATGGCAATGCCACTTTCATCCTGCATGCCATGCTCGGAATCCTTCCAGGCTCCCCAGTGTCAGTGGGACAAAGTGGAAACATTAGAGTCCTCCTTGGGAAGGCGCGGGTGCCTCCAGCCTAGTACTTTCTCTCCACCCTCTGGGCCCTCTGGTAGACATGTTCTGTTTCTGGCAACCTTGGGCATCTGAGATTTCCATGTTCTGTGCTGGCAATGGCCTCTAGTGGCCTCCCTGGCACTGCCCTGTGAACATCTCCGACTACGACCCACACTGCAGAGCCCAGCCTTTGTCACACACTGAGTGGCCCACCCACCTCTACACACGCTTTTTATTCACCTCCTGAAGTTAATTATTATGTATTCCATAAAGGGATCTTGGAGATCATGTAGTCTGACACCCCATTTAGTAGGCAAGAAGATTGAGGCCTAAGAGGCAAAAGGAGTTAGTTCACATAGAACCCAGGGGTCCTGGCGTATGCCTGAGCAGCACATACACTAAGATTGGAAACAATGCAGAGAAGCTGAGCATGGCCCCTGCACAGGAGAACGTACACATTCATGAAGCATTCCATATTTTTATGTTTATTCTGACACTGTTCACAATAGCAAAGTCAGAAAATCAACCCAAGTGTCATCAATGGAGGAGTGGATAAAGAATATGTGGGGTCGGACACGGTGGCTCATACCTGCAATCCCAGCGCTTTGGGAGGCCGAGGTGGATGGATCACCTGAGGTGAGGAGTTTGAGATCAGCCTGGCCAACACGGCGAAACCCCGTCAAAAAATACAAAGAAAATTAGCCGGGCATGGTGGTACACGCCTGTAGTCTCAGCTACTTGGGAGGCTTAAGCAAAAGAATCGCGTGAACCCAGAGGTGGACAGAGGTTGTGGTGAGCTGAGATCGCACCACTGCATTCTAGCCTGGGTGACAGACTGAGGCTCCATCTCAAAACAAGAAAAAAGAAAAAGAATATGTGGGGTATCTTCAGCCATAAAGAGAATGGAATCATGTGTTTTGCAGCAACATGGATAGAAGTGGAGGCCATTTTCCTAAGTGAAATAACTCAGAAACAGAAAGTCAAATATTGTACATTCTCACTTAGAAGTAGGAGCTGCACAGTGGGTCCACATGCAGAGGAATCCGTGGAGACTCCAGAAGGTGGGGAGGGTGGGAACTCAGTAAGGGCTAAAAAATTATCTCTTGGGTCCAGTGTTCATTATTTAGGCAACGGGCATATTAAAATCCTAGATGTCACCTCTGTGAGATATAGACATGTAACAGAACTACATTCCTACCCCCTGGATCTGTAAGAATAAAAAAATACAGTAGGGAAAAAAAGAACCCAAGGCTCATTACTACTGCACTGCGTTATCTTTTATTTAGTTCTCTTATCAGCTATTTATTTATTTATTGAGACAGGGTCTCACTCTGTTGCACAGGCTGGAGTGCAGTGGTGTGATCTCAGCTCACAGACTCAAGAGATTCTCCTGCCTCAGCCTCCTGAGTACCTGGGACTACAGGTGCGTACCACTACCGCCCACTAATGTTTGTATTTTTAGTGGAGACGGAGTTTCACTGTTTTGGCGAGGCTGGTCTTGAACTCCTGACCTCAAATGATCCACTCACCTCGGCCTCCCAAAGGGCTGGGATTACTGGCGTGAGCCCGTGTGCCCAGCCCTCTTATCAGCTTTTGTTGCCCATCTGTGAATCTGTCTGACCTCTCCAACCAGATTCTCAGCCCTTTGAGAATAACTGTCTTGTTTCCTTTGTGCTGCTACTTATTTCCTTTGTATTAGTCAGCAGAGTCTGCAGAGAAGGATCCACTGGCTGAATCAATGGATGGAAGCTGTCTGTGTGCTTTAGAAAACAGCAAATCACCAGGACACCAGGACACCCATCTTGGAGACTTTCCTGACACTCAGAACAGGGGCTGTTGGGCTGCTGGCACCGGAAAGCTAATCGTGCCTTCTCATAGAGCAGGCCCGTTGGACAGAGATGGAGCGGTCACTTGGTCCAGTATGGTCATTGTTCAGTGGGGATCCGAAAGCCCAGCATGCTGAGATCACACAGGTATCTGGTACCAAAACCGGAACTGGAACACGGTCCTGCCCCGCAGTGTTCCTGGACAAAGGCTGCATGAGTAGGAGCTGGGGGAGGTAAGGAGGGAGGGAGAGAAGCTGCAACACTGGGCAGATGTCAGGGTGCTGTGGTTCTGCGTGTGTTCCTGCAGCAGCGCCCAGCAACCAAGGCCAAGGAGGCCGCAAAACTTCTCCGGTGTCTTTCGCAAGCTTCTGCTCTCCTTTCTCTTTTCAGCTAACCTCCAGGCCCTCTATTTTTTTCTCCTTAGGCTCTAGTCTCTGATTAAGATGTGCTTTCTTCCCTCTCAACAGAACTCATCACATCAGCTCTCACCTGTCCCCAGAACTCCCTTTTTGATCACAGAAAACAGGAAAGGGCTGTGGGGTGAGAGACCCTCCTCACACTGATGATTCTTTTAGTTCTACTTTTCCAAAACTGCTCCCACTTCTGTCTCTGCCAAACAGCCACTGTCAACAGTTCTTAAAACCAAAAATCGTTGCTCAGGAAGCAAATGTGTTTGTGGGAAGAATGACAGTGTGTTTCATTGCAGAGGGTGGCATTCATGACAGTGTTTGAAGAAATTAACAGGTCAGGCCAAACAATGCGCGGCGCATTAATCAGGCAGCTTGAGCATGGGCTGTGTTCTACCTTCTTGCTGGTTTGACATTGTAGATAAAACCTGGTCGTTTTTCAGAAGGATTCCGAAGAGGTTGTGTAAATTGAAGAAATGGCTCACTCTTGTCAGGAACGCAGGAATGTGAAGTCTAGTAGGCTATTTTACTGCCAAGCTTGTTATCATAAGAACCGCTCTCAGCTCCTTAGTGGAAGGAAACTAAATGTATGCAAGGCATTATTAGCTTACTCAGATAACTGCACCAGCATAAAGCAATGTTGTGACTGATTTGCAAACTTAATGCAGGGAAGGTCCTTAGACGTGATTCTGGAATTGCCAACCCTATGAGCTTTCACAGATGCTGTGGGCCACTTTCAGAGCCCACGGATTCAGTGTGTGGCTGTTGGGAACAGGCTTTGCTATGCAAATCAGTGATTGTTTATAATGTCCCTAACTGCCATATATGTTTTCATAGGATTATTATTTATGACCCCAAATAAGATTTCCATCTGATTAGCAGTGAAACAAGCCAAGATGTGAGAAGATGGGCAGTTAATTAAAGGTTGCTGTCTGGTCAGGGTGGCATTCCAGACCACGGATCCCGTTATATAGGAGGGATGCCCAGATTTGCCCTGAGCGCTCCTCCCTTCCTCTTCCCATTGCAGCCTCTAACACAGGGTGTCTCTTGAAATGCCACTTAGAATCTTTTCACCAAAGATGTAGGTGATTAATCAAGGCCCCGGGTGTCACAATGACCCATTGTCCCTGAAGGCATTCCTTTGCCTGGCTTCTGACCTCTTCTCTTGGGGCAAATGTGCATTTTCCCAAAGTCTTGCTGGACAAGAACTCACAGACAATGGCCCTGCATGTAGCTTTCATTTGCAGAATGGAACAGAAAGTGTTTGGGTTGCTGGAAGCAGGGAAAAGGGCATGCATTAACCCATTCTTTATATTCTCGCCAGAAATCATACACATATTTTGAAGCGGAGAGCTTCCCACTCGGTTTTTCCCCATTTTTAAAAGAATCCATTGCACATAAGCCCATCCTGATAATATTAAAGAAGACTAAAAGACTCACCCACAGTCCTGCCACTCTGACAAATTTAATTCTTTCCATTTACTGTGTTCCCCTCTAATCTTGTCCATATACAAAGTTTTTACTCAGTTGTCATCAGAGCTCTCCCATGGCTTTTAAAAGAATTACATTGTGATGAAGATATCTCTTTTAGATAGTTATGTACTATTATTAAAGATTCAAAATACCATTAATTTCCTTCAAGCTCTATTATGTTTATCATCTATCACTGTGTCAGCGCACTAATCACTCCCTCAGTTGCCTCAGGAACACGGCTTAACTATTTACTTTTAATAGAAATCTGACCACCAGAGCCTACGTCTGCCCCAACAAAGACATGCCATTGCGTGAGCTGTTGATCCCTTGAAACAAGTGAAATCCTTTAATGGTTTCCTACACAGTCAAGAATTTTTTTTTTTTTTTTTTAGATGATGAAAATTGAAGGTGAGAGAAGTTTGTGGGAACAAAGAGACTCATCCCTATTCGGATGAAGAGCAATTGTGGACACCAGCCAGCCTTTACACAGTAATGTGGAGAATTCTGCTGGAGGGATGCTTCCTCCAACCCTGTGTCCCCGGCTTGGGCTGACAGCTGCCCAGGCAGCTGAGATGAGGGAATCGGTTCAGGTTACCCTGAAGGTGCAAGCTTGGACCCTGGCTCTTCCTACATGCACGGTCCTATCCCTGTGACAAAGCATGAGAATATAAACTTTGGAATCAGAGACTCTGGGTTCACGTTCAGACTTTCACATGGACTTGATATGTGACATCAGGTAAGTGATGTGACCTTCCTCATTCTTGCCACTTCATATTTGAAACAGAAATTCTATCACTCATTCATTCACTAGATATTTATTGAGCACCGTTCTAGGCCCTGGGAATATCATGGAGTTTGCCGATGAGGGGTGGGGAGGGGATACAGATACTGATCTAATTGTCATCCTGTAAGCTGCACGTGCTTTCATTAAGGAGCGGAGGAGTACCATGCTATGAGACCCTGTTAAGAGAGAACTTGAACTTGTTAGGCATGTCAGAGAATGAGTTCACCAGCTGGGGACTGGAGGGAACAGCATTCCCACTACAGGGAACAGAAAGTAGACCATCTCTATACTAAGAGGAAGCATTGTCAGGAAAGGTTTCACAGAAGTAGGGGGTCAAGAAATACAGGGGCCAAGGGAGATGTAGCTGAAGGGGTAGGAGCCATGGCCCCTGTTAAGAATTCCCTCCCTTAATGGTGAATTTTAGCTGTCGACTGGGTTAAGGGATGCCCAGCTGGCTGGTAAAGTATTATTTCTGGGTATGTCTGTGAGGGTGTTTCCAGAAGAGGTTGGCATTTGAATCAGTAACTGAGTAAGGAAGATCCACCTTCACCCAATGTAGGTGATCACCATGCAATGGGCTGAGGGTTCAGATAGAGAAAAAAAAAGGCAAAGGAAAGAAGATTCCATTCTCTCTCTTTTGGAGCTGGGACAACTTTCTTCTCCTGTTCTTGGACATAAGAACTTCAGGCTTTCCAGACTTTGGGACTTTCACCGGTGGCCCTGGTCCTAAGGCCATTGGCCGCAGACTAAGAGTTATCCTTACCCCAACAGCCCCCTGGTTCTCAGGCCTTCAAACTTAGATCGAGCTGTGCTGCTGGCTTTCCTGGTTCCTGAGGAACCTCTCAGCCTCCATAATTGGGTGAGTCAGTGCCCCTATTAAATCCTTTCTCATATATCTATATTTGTATCTGTCTATGTATCCATCTATCTATTTATCCATCTATATTTTCTGCCCTAACACATCTCCTAAGAGCAAAAAGAAGCCATGGAG